AATGCACAATGTCGCTTGGTGCCTAGAAGGAAATAACAAAGCATATTAATGTTTAATTGCTAATCTGGATTTAGCTGTCGACACTGTCTCGATCGATATATTTTATGATAGCTATTTTACAAATATTGGTCACTTTTAATCCAGTGTTCGCAAGATTGTAGCAACAGTTACATTTAACATTTGTAAACACTGGAATCATGTTTACTTTGACCGTAACAGTAACATAATATATGATAATCAGTTTATCATCTATATTCAATGCCCACCCATTATTCTTGCAGATTAGTTAGAATTCAGATTTGAATATTGCGAACAGCAACAGAAGAAACAGAAATTCACAGAGACATACAACAAGATTTATGGTCATCTTTAAGACAGATGAAAGCATGTATGAAGGGTGTGAGACTGAAATAAACCAAAAAATAGAAATTCAATTCTTCGCGGAGGTTCGAAGCATCACGCTGGAAGAATGCCAAGAAATGTAATTTCACGAGAAAGACCAGGAAACAGTTAACACTTGATCACAAAAAATTCACTTCTCGACGATTGCTTGCTGCACAGTTGATCTTCTGCAAACTGCTGTACATGTGACGTCCAAAGGGCAAGACAGTTGGTTGGCAACGCAGTTGTTACAGTAATTGCAATAATTTGAATGAGTATTATCAAAAAATTTCCCTGTAGTTGGTTCGTAGTACGAAGGGTAAACAAAAGTTACTTTACCTGGGTAACATGCTCATCAAACACAAAAAGACAGAAGAAAACATTATGTGGAATTGCGAATTCAGCCAGAGGAACAAATGTTGTACCAAATTGCACAAATCGGATGAAAGCGTTATTTTCTCAATCGGGGAACATAACCATACTGTTGATGCCGTCAACGAGATAGTAAAAAGAGTTATTGAATAAGTTAAGGGCTTTACCAACGAAACTGCTTCCTTAGCTTGTGAGGGTCGGTCACAAAGAATAACCGCCAAATTTCCATTCATCAGTAGCGACAGTAGGCATCACAGAGTCGAGTGGCACATCAAACTACTTAATTCAACCAACCTAAATGATCTGGTACTACTAGAGAGATACAGGTCACGTTTGGCAGCTAGTATTTCTTTGTACACCACTGCAAACCCAACCAAATAACGACCGTCTGCTAATTTTCTTCATTATGAATAATTTTAAATTATTGATATGCAAAAGAACATTAATACTGTTCAATAATTGCTTCAGCAGCTGTACACAATCTATGGGATACAGTACTCCAACGTCATAACATCTGCATTTACTTTGATGCCAGACAAACTGGAAACATCTAGAAAAAAGTGTGGCCCTTCACTCGGTGATCTTGAGCAAGTGGCCATTAAAGTTTTACCAGAAACCCCTCCAAATTTCGTGCATCGCAGGTGTTTCTTTCAATTAGGCCAATGCAACTACCGAAACATTTTGGCGAATGGTCTCCAGCAAAGACACTCAATGCACTGATCCTTAGTCTTAACAATCTGAATGTTCATAGCACTGTTTGTCGTACCAGTGCAGCACTTGCGCAGCGAACATTTGAGGTCGTTTACGAAATGAACGATTATTTGACCAAAGCTCACCCGTTCATAGATTACTTCGAACATGCATGGATTGGTAGCCAAGATCGACGTCAAGCACGAATACAACCACGCTTCCTTCTGGCAATTTGAAATTGCTTTCACATGATTCATGAAGGTCTGAAGAGGATTGGAATCAAAAATTTTGCAACTTATTCATTCGCACCATTTCTCCATATGAAACTTTATCGTTGATCTGTAGAAGGAACAAAGCTTAAACACAAAGAAGATCAAGGCTAAACCGCGACAAAAGAAGAAATACACTGATTCAACTCAGCGTACTGTCAGGATAGTTGATTCGTATTCTGGTAGATACTTCGAAGAACCCACTAATATGCAGCTTCCCAATTATTTACGAAGCCTTGTACACAATTTTACTCAACTAGTTGAATAGCCTTATGTGTTGTATTATACCGAATGTGCTTGTGAAATAGCACAGTAAACAAAGAGCAAAATTAATGCTTCATAAATCCATCATAAGTTGCATTCTTCTATTTTACAAACTGAAAACAAACGTCAGTTGAGACACAATCCTCGGACTTTGCATAATAAAAGCCGACATACGAGGCAGCGAGCGACTGTAGAGATCATCAGCTGTGGAGCGGGTAATCGGCAGGGTGCAAATATGCGGCAAGCAAGTGTGCCTGGGAGCAAATTAGGAAACTAGCCGGGAAACGCATTAACAGACAGTTAAATATCTACAAACAATATATTTAATACTGTAGACTGTTTGCCGTAGATAATTGTTTAAGGCACCAAACAATACAAATGTTAGTGAATTATTGCCGGCGCATTTCTTTACAAACAGAGTAGCATTATCGGGGCAACAGCAGAATTAAAAGCACAGTGAGGTGTTAATGAGGGCATTACCTCAATTATACAAAAAATATTACACATAAACATTAAATTTAATATAAAACAGATGGCATGAAGATCATACCTGGGAAAGAGAAAAAGTCCATCTTCTTCCAGATTTCCGAACGCAATGTAAGTGTACAAATCGTACAAAGGCCGCCACTCAAGGGTCAAGTCATCTCTCGATATCAGTCGCACTTTGCTAAAAATTAGGTCAAATTTAATTTAAGATTGGGAAAATATAAAAATAAAATATGTACAATAAAAGCTAAATAAACACCTAATTCATGCAAATTTTATGCTAAAACATATATGGCAAAAGTTTGCTTCAATCCCTCAGCACATGCAGGAAGAAAGTTTGTTCAACCGGGTGTTGTTTGACAGATCAGACCAGGATCACTCAGTCGGTAGAGGTTCTTACATAGGACCGAAAGGTCCCGGATTTGAACTTTGGTCAGGGGACTCATCCTTCCTCCATCCAAAATTGATTAACAAGCACCGGTCTACACTACGATTGCTTGCCACACACCTGCTGTCGAGTCTATCATTAAAGAAAGGCACTGATAGAATGGAAATAGAGGTCAACGCTCTACCATTAATTTCATGAAACGAAGGATGTAGAAAATGACAACATCATGAAAGGAACGAACACCGGCACTTCAACAATCAAGACTTTTCTGCCTTCATGCTTGACGTCAAAACATCTACAATAGGATGATGTGATCGAAACTTACCGGCGACGGTTTTAATGTAAACTGTTTTATTATTCTACACTGTTCAAGAAACACACAGAATAAACTTCCATTTACAGCGCTGACACTCCAGCATTACTCTATTCATTCATTTTTAAGGTTCACAATTCACTCGCGGCTGCAGAGCCACAAATTTAAGAGACTTTCCCCTGAATTAATAGTTATAACGGATGTAATATCAAATTATCTTCAAAATTTTTAACATTAAATGTATGGAAATTACTATGAAATCTGCTCGTCTCGTGAGATCAACCATTTCCGGACTTGTGCTGCGACTAGCTGAAAGTACTTCTGAATGCAGCTGAGAATAATGCGGGTGAAGACTTGGTAGATTTAAGTCAGAAGTGTAACTGGTAAATAGTTTTTGAGATCTTCAGATCCCCCTTTCTTCATAAGAAGAATCGTTCTTGATGTCTTTCACACTTTAGGCGTCTTATTTGTCTGATGAATGCCATTAAAACTTCGACAAGCGCTTCAAACAAAATTATTCCTCGAGCTTAAAGGTGTTTTGGTGTTATATCGTCCTGTCCTGAACATATCTGATGCTTCTGATTGTCCATTCAACTTCGTCCTAAGTGACTTATGTAACGGTTGCTGGGGTAACGTGTGGCAACATTCGATTCACGCCTACTTTGACAGACTACAGGTGGTCGTAGAACTTTCTGCCGGAAGGCATTCTACCGATTTAGATCAGTAGTTCTTGCTATAGTTCTTTCTCGTTTTTCAGAAAACTAGGAATCGGCTATTTGAAGCAAATGACTCTTCTTACCGCTTACGGGCCTTTCTTATGTTCCGTAACCTTTCTTAATCGAATTCACCCGTAATTTTCGCAGTCTTTAGTATATCTTTGAGCAATGCAGCGTACGCACTGTCCACTTGAATTTTGGTTTTCAGTTGGGCTCTAGCTAGCCATTAGGTGCCTTGCTGAAGGGCTGACGGCTTTGTCTATCATTGAATTTTCTGCCCGGCATGATATTCTAACGGAAATTTGATGGCATTGAAAAAATGGTCATAATCCGCATCTGCAACCTCGGTGATGTTCATTTGAAGGTTCGTAATGGCGGAAGCATCCAGATCGAATCGTAGTTCGCGACAATGCGGTGGCCTTCGAGCTCTGTTGTGAAAGCCACATTCTTCTATTGCGACACTGACAGCAACTACAGAACATAAAAGCCTGTAGGCTGACCCTGCATAGACGATATTTTTGACTATGGCTTAAACGTATGATATTATTCGCTTTTCTCATCAGTACATAATTTAGTTCAGACTTTGTCTGAACCCCCGTGTTCACTATCACTTTGGAGATTCTGGAAAACTCTGTTCATGACATGGAGGTAGTTGCTTTAAGCGAAAACTGCGAAGCGATCGTTACGTTCGTTTCTCTCGCCTTTTCAGTATTTTCCAACAAATACCTGTGTGTAGTTCATCCTTTTCCCAACCCCTGTGTTGACGTCTTCTTTGGCAATCACGTACGGAGATGTCTTCCCATTTCTCATCGAATTAGTCCATACATTTATTTTCAGCTTTACAGGTTGGACTGCAAGCGTGAATTGTTTTTTTCTTTTGTCCATCCGTAGCAGCGGAATTGTTATACGTGGTGATATAATATCACAGCTTAGTACGAATGTTACAACCTTCCTTTACATTACTATAACCCAACTCGCTAGTCCGAGCTATGTTCTCAAAGGCCGTCCTGAGAAACACTTGGTTACCGTTGTTTCACTGAGCAACAAGGTCGGTAAATCTTCAGATTTGGAATATTCTAATGAACTCCACATTGATCTTCTCCGTCTCCGTAGTGTAGACGTCGATACACGCTTCTGCATTTTCCATCATCGATACAAAAGATTCTGACGACGTTCCGGGTCCGTTTACCAATCGTGTCCTGTTGTTTACCGAATCACACGTGCTGTTGATACCGACGCGGAAGCGTGTGCCCATTTTCTTTGAGCGTTTTTTGGTGAGTAATTGTATGGCAGTTTACTGGGGTGCCAACCCTCGTGAACTATTGCCAACGACTCCAACTTTTATCCAGCCAAGCTCATTCAGAGAAGGGGAACACGTATTAAAATCAGAAATCTAAAAAGCCAACAGAAAATGGAAACAAAAGCCAAACTGAGGAAAATAACAGCAGCGGTAGTCGAATGATCATAGCAATACAGTTGTACACGGCTAAAATCGTGAATAAGTAATGGCTTACATCCCAGTTTTTTCGCATGGCCTCTCACATTGTTTGGCTTCAGTTATCATCAATATCACTATCTACAACACCAGCATAACCTTCATAATTATTATCACTCGCATCGTCATTTTTCACTTCTTTATCACCATCGACAGAACTAGAAGATATTAAAAAACAAATTCAGTGACTACGTTCATTGATACTTCGAAGATCCTCGTCCTTGTAACATTAAAGGCTGCAATGCGACAACTGCGAGATATCGTGAACTTTTGTCTCTTTCAAATAGACGGAAGGGACAAGACCTCTGAGTATTTGATATGGTTAAAAAGGTTAGAAACGTAATCAAATGAGTAAGCTTATTCAGTACAGAAAGAGAAAAACTTCGGCTAATTACTTTCCTGGAAATACAACAAACAAACAAATATAAATAAAAACAAATGAATATGATAAGCGTTAGGCAGTACCATATAAACTAACATTAAACATTTAATGTTTACCTGGTCAAGTTCTTAAATATGAAACCAAAACTTTTGACTAAGCGAGCTTCAAGGCCAGGCAGAACCACCAGTTCATACATCACTTTAATGAAAAAGATGTGGTCTTGCTTCGAAAACCGCAATCCATACAACGAAATATACCTAAAAAGATAAAGAAATTTTCGGAGATTTAAATAGCACAATGATTCTGCCGTTATGAATCTCGGAGAGGGAATCATGTATTATACAAATATTTCATAACAAATTGATAGAAAA